AGGAGGAGAAGAAGAAGAAGAAGAAGAAGAAGAAGAAGAAGAAGAAGAAGAAGAAGCAGCAGAAGAAGAAGCAGAAGAAGAAGAAGCAGAAGCAGAAGAAGAAGAAGAAGAAGAAGAAGAAGAAGAAGAAGAAGAAGAAGAAAGAAGAAGAACACAAGCTTGAACCAATGCCATCATCTCCCTCTTCTCGCCATCATCATCTCCTTCAGATGATCGGCGAATCATCCGACAATAACAAATGAATGGATCAACAAGAATCAATGTAGTAATGATCCCCTTTTGCTGCCACCACTGTAGAAACAGGTCTCCTTCAGCCTCCTTTCACTCTCCTCCTCACTTGGTATGACATCTAGCTGTGGCATCTCATCCATGCCCAGTATGGATGTTCAAAAGACAATGCGACTACTATAATCATGCGTCTCTCCTCTACTTACACTATCGCCACCCTCCGGATGAGGTCCATGTTCGACCAGGACCCCATCAGGGCCCTTGTTGATGCAGCGCGAACCAGGAAGATGAAGATGAAGGTCCACCATAGCCAAAGGTAAGTCTCCCTGTCAGTTCCCACCTTCGTCCTCCTCCTCAGCCTCTAACTCACCTCCATAGTCTGGCGATATGGTCTACAATCTAGGCTTCTCCTTCCTCCCACTACTCTTCCTTTGGTTGTTTTCTTCCTCACCCTCAGCTCGTCCTTCACCACCCCAAGTGCTGCACGTCACCTCGACACCCTACCTTTCTTCCCCCGAACATAACGCATAGTATGCGTTGTATTCCAGTTTTCAAAGTTTTGAAAAAATCGAATAGAATGCATATGCGTTGTATTCGAAATTTAGGGCTATTCGAATAGAACGCATATGCGTTGTATTCGAAATTTAGGACTATTTGAATAGAACGCATATGCGTCGTATTCAAATAGAACCCATCCTATGCATTGTATTCGTTTACAGCGCATGTGTTATGTTCGGGGGAAGAAGGTAGGTCAGACCAGCAGCATGACTGCAGAGTGATTGCCCAGACTACTCGTTGAACCAAATGATATATTAACCCTGGTTTGCCCCTATGCTAACTTTCCGCCTTGTCCCTGAGTCTACCCTTAATTTCTATTGAACCTATTCCACCCTTGTCCAAGCGGCAACGCCGGTATGCCCCCTACTTGTAACTTTGAGCCCCGTCCCTGAGTCTACACTTATTTTGTATCCTCTAACCCTATTCAAGGGACATACAGACACACAGCACAGCCCCAACAATTCTACCCTTAATTTCTATCCTACCCTTGTCTGAGCAGCGACCCCCGGTATGTCCCCGACTGCTAACTTTGAGCCCTGTCCCTGAGTCTACACTTATTTTGTATCCTACCCCTGTCCGAGGGACAGACACACAGCACAGCCCCCAACAAGTCTACCCTTAATTTCTATCCTAGTACCCTTGTCCGAGAAGCAACCCCCGGTATGTTCCCTACTCGTACGTTTGAGCTCTGTCCCTGAGTCTAAACTTATTTTGTATCCTACCCCTGTCTGAGGGACCGACACAGTACACTGGGGAACCCGAAGTATACCCCCAGGAGGCCGTGGGGGACGAAAGGCGATGTCGGGAATCGAACCCACGACTGCCTGAGTGCCACTTACATGCTCAACCAACCTGAGCTACCGTCTTCCCCCGAACATAATGCACCCTGAAATTGAACGTATACAAGGTATGTTTCCAGCCCGATACAGAGAAAATCTGGGTGCGTTGTGTTCGGGGGGAAAAGGTAGCCTGCTTGGGCTTACCGTTTCTTTTTTTTTTTTTGTTAATTTTTTTGTTTTTTGTTTTTGACACAAATCTCATTCATATCTTATCTGTGAGCTTCATGTCATAATTTGACTGGGGATTGCAAATTTGGCACTTTAATTTTCCTTTCATTAAAATTCATTTGCAATCTCTTATTCAATGGATCTACTATAAATTCATTGAATCGCGGTTTTTAATTATTTAATATAATGCAAACCGTTGTGCTTCGTAAAACAAAATGCAGCGGATGTTTACATACGCGCAAATTTTTGAAACATCTGTTGAAAGAAAAAAAAACAATCAATTAATATTATTCAATAATAGTATTACATTACAACTTACATAATAATAATATACTATTACTATATTAGACTATTAGCACATGCGTCGTTGAACCAATCCACTCGATCAGGCAAGCAAGTGGTTGATCAAATGACTCATCGATTAATCATCAATCAAACAGTCATGTAAAAAAAA